TTTTTTTTTTTTTTGGAGCAAACTTGCTCGTAGCTCCTTATTGATATAAAAGGGGATAAAGGGTAAAAGAAAAACAAGAAACAAGTCTTAAAGGAGTAAAAAGCCACCTAACGATGGTTTTGCGGTCAATTGTCCTTCCTTTGTGGATTGAACTATTATAACTCGGCTTAACCAACAAAGTAAAGTCCATACATAAAGTTAAGTTGCTTTACAAACTTAATATCTATAAAAACTAAGGGGAAAACTAAGGGGAAGAGTTTTTATTGAAATTGACAGGTATCCAAAAGGAATGGTAGCACCACAATCCACCTAGATGCTGCCATCATAAATGGTTTATGCGAGGTGGTAGAGGCAGGTTTGGGATAATTCATTCAATCTTCTTTTTTTTCTAAGTTTTCGTCATTCCTCCCTCTTAAAACATTTTCACAAACTTGAGCTTTCTTTCTTCTTCTTTCAGTCATTCCTCTCTAGGTTGCATCCTTATTTCTTTTAAAAAATTTTATTCCCACATTGTAACAACACCTACTATACATATTTAGCCAATTTGGATGTGGATGGGGATTCTCCAATTAATTAATTCTACTAATTCGAATCTAGGTGCCCCTACGCATAAAAATATGGATAAGGATGTTGATTCAGATGCAACTAGAAAGACTAGAAGAGTTTGAAGGCTTGCAATGATCGACTTAGCCACAAAGTGCGACTAGATGAAAAGGGATTTATTATAAGACTACGGGAATTGGTCAAAGACACAGAGAGCAAGTCAAGACACTCTCTTCTTCCTCTCCTTATCCTTATAAAAAGGAGAAGGGCAAATGTAGTATACTTGCTTACTTGTTAGAGTAAGGAATTGGTCCTTATTTGATTTGAACATGCAACACCCACGGGCCAATCCCCGAGAACCAGATGGCAGATGCCACAGTCGGTGCCGGAGCACCGTCTTATGTCACTTATTAAAGCTAGATCACAAATTAGAAGTGGTTAGATTTTCATAAGGAGGCATAGTAATTTTTTCGGACTAAAATAATACCAAGTCCCTCAGCTTCGGTACTGGAACGAGAGACGGTGTGTTGCTTCTTGGCACACCACGAGATTAAATTGCAACCAAGGAACGTACAGTACCCTGTGGTCGAGCGCCTAGTGATTGGACATCCAGCCCAATCAGCATCGGCAAACTCCTGCAAAAATAATGAAGAATTGGAAGTTAAATGTAATCCTAGACTCAGAGTTCCTTTCATATACAGAAGAATGCGATGAACAAACTTCATGTGCACCACCGTCGGGTCCTGCATATATTGAGAAACAAAATTCACACTGTATGCAAGATCAGGACGGGTTAATGTTATCAGATTGTTTGTTTGATAAATGTGCTGTGCTTATGATTATGATATGCAGGTTGGCACACATATTTCTGGATCGCGTTCGTTCCCTTCATTGTAAGCTCTCGAAGCATATATTTGTACTATACAATAAGTCTAACAACGAATTTATTAGGAAAATGATTTTTGGTTTTTATTTTAACAGCTTCTACTAGCTGTGGGTACTAAATTAGAGCATGTAATTACACAATTAGCTCATGAGGTTGCAGAGAAACACGTAGCAGTCAAAGGAGACTTGGTTATTCAACCTTCAGATGATCATTTCTGGTTCCACAGGCCTCAAATTGTTATAATTTTGATCCATATCATCCTATTCCAAAATTCTTTTGAACTTGCATTTTTCTTCTGGATATGGGTAAGGAACACACAAAATTTGCAGACAACATTTTCTTTTTTTACTGCTAAAAGTAATGAATGATTTTTACTTCTTTGACTTATATATTTATTGCAGGCTCAATATGGTTTCGACTCCTGTATAATGGGACAAGTTGGTTACATTATCCCAAGACTTATTATAGGGTAAAATAAAGATTCTCCTTTTTTTTTTTTTTTGTTTCAGTAACAGTCTCACATCGATGAATGAAAAATTTATAGCTTCTGTTTATCACATTTAGGGCGTTCGTTCAGTTCGTCTGCAGCTATAGTACATTGCCATTATATGCAATTGTCACACAGGTAAATTCGGACTCTGACCGAAACTTCTAATTTCGTCCTGACAAAGAAGCTGAAAATGATTATTGTGTTGTAATGCAGATGGGAAGTTCATTCAAGAAAGCAATATTTGATGAACATATTCAAGTAGGGCTTGTTGGTTGGGCTAAGCAAGCTAAAAAGAATACAGTTCTTAGAAAGGCAGCTCATGGCTCTAGCCAAGTTGGTCACAAGGAGGATTCTCCACCAGCAGTTCAGTTGGCAAACATCGGAGACAAGGAATCTGCAATGGAAGATATTGTACAGCAAACAGCCTCTGGTAGGCCAAACTGAAAAGCATCATATCTCTGAATGCTCGTGTGTTGAGTTGCCACTGTCGCAAAATACTCCAACATAATATCTTATATTTTGTCCTTTTAGATTTAGTTCCAAGATTTGCTTATGTAATCAAGACTTTGTTCTAGCTCTGGGGCCAAGTAAAGTTTAAAATTTCCCTTTGTTTCTTGTCCCTAAGGACCCAAGTAGTAGTAGTCTCATCTATATGTTTGCATAAACTATAGATTTTTATTAAGTAATGAAATCCGCTTCCTCTGTGTTGCAGATTTAAGAGATGAGAAAAGCTATGAGTTCTTAGTCTTTCTTACATTTATGCTTAGAAGCTTTTTTCCAAATATTTACAGCTCAAAATAACCAACAAATGGTATCAGAGCTCTTTAGTTTTTAAAGGGGCCTGAGATTATCTTTATTACTTGAGAGAGAGAAAAGAAATAGAGAAGTGAGTTATGGCTTCCAATGTTTCAATTCCAACACCACCCATCTTCGGAGGCCAAAATTATAATTTTTTGGTAATCAAGATGAAAGCTTTCTTAAAAGCTAATGATTTGTGGGAGGTAGACGAAAAAATTATGAACCACTACCACAAAGGCCAAATTCTACTCTTGCTCAAATCAAGCAACAAATGCAGGAGGCTCTAAAGCAATTTAAAGCCCTTTCCTTCATTCACTCAGCTGTGGATGAAAGTATTTTTCCAAGAATCATGGGTCTAGACAGCCAAGAAAGCATGGGATTTGTTGAAGGAGGAGTTTCAAGATACCGGAAGAATGAAGCAAGTGAAGATGCAAACTCTTAGAAGAGAATTTGAAGCTTTGAAAATGAAAGATGGTGAAAGTATTAAAGATTATAGTGCTAGAGTGCTGCAAGTAGTGAACCAGCTAAGAATTAATCGAGAAGAAATTTCAGATCAAAGGGTGGTAGAAAAAATTCTCATCACTTTGCCTGACAAGTACGAGTCTAAAGTTGCTGCCATTGAAGAATCTCATGATTTATCCAAATACTCTGTCACAGAACTCACAGGAGCTTTTCAGGTATCCATGGAAGGAGCTTTTCAAGCAAAAATCAAGCTTAGAGAGTCAGATGTTGTGAAGTATCCTCCATGTAGAATTTGTAAGAGAACCAACCATGAAGAGAAAGATTGTTGGCATAAGGGAAAGCCACAATGCTTTAAATGCAAGAGATTTGGGCATGTTCAAAAGAATGGTGTATTTACTAACAGATGAGAAAAGCTATGAGTTCTTAGTCTTTCCTACATTTTTGCTTAGAAGCTTTTCTCCAAATATTTACAGCTCAAAATAACCAACATGGTGTATTTACTGCTTCCAAACCCAGAAGAACAGAGCCTTCGAATTATTACAGAACACTGAAATATAAGTTAAGAAGAGTATATATACATAGTTATTTATTTAAAGGAGGCTAGAAGTAATTGTTAATTATAGCTTATCACTCGTATTAAAAGGCATTGAATACTATTTTTAGCATAGATTTACTTTGATTTCTACCATTTTGCTTTTCCAATTTATTAAATTTCTAGAATGCTCCATATTATAAACTTGATACTGAAATCTGTTTAAAAAGTTCTTCTATCAAATCTCACTACTGGGTTTAAACATTAAAATAGAATTGTTTAAGCTTTCCTTTGTTTCAGCTTTAACCCTGTTTTATATGTATAAATGAAGAGGTGATTAAGGTTGATCAAACGACTCGATCCGTTGGATATCCGGTCTGATCCGATCTGAATAGTGGTGGATCGGATGTGCAGATTAAATATGAAATCAAGACCCCGAAACTATTTTAGTTCCAGATGATGCAGAGCCAATTATAATTCCGAATCCAATCCCATCTCCTGAGCTATACATATTAACTTCTGAAAATGTAGATTTGCCCGAACTTATTTAATAAGGGGAGATGGAGACACTGATTTGGACCCTCGTGATCGAGCTTATGATTGTAAAGAACACGAAGCCATAGTCAAACGATCCAATCCCGGTTGAGAGCGTCGAAGCCTGAAGTACTCACTTCTACTCCTGTCTTGCTGTGGAAGCATTGGCCGGAAGCTTCACAACCGAGATAGAGCCATCCCTGGAACCTAGGTTTAGAACTCCTGAGACTGGCCTACAAGAATCCTGCCCCCGCCTAAGAACTTGAGAGAAAAGGTCCCATCTGGACTAGCTGTCAAGGTTTCTACTTGGAAGAAAGAGAGGAAATTGCTATTGCATTGCCTTTTAGAGAGGGATTTCATTGATGTGGCATTAGTGGTCTTACCTGCTTATCTGCGTCAATCCGAAAGTTTTTTCTTTCTCTTCTAAACGAGATTGATTTTCTTCAATTCAAAATAATCCGAAAGTTTTTTCTTCTCTTTCTAAACGAGATTGATTTTCTTCAAATTCAAAATCTGGAAACTTACCAGGGAAACTCTTAATTCAATAAATTTCCAATCATAGCTCTTGAATCAGATTCCCCGGCAAGGTCTACGGCTACAGAGCCATCTAGACTACCATCTTTTCGTGTTATAAAGTGGTTTTCACTTTGTCATAGATTACCTAGTGGGTAGCTTCACACACTTGGATTATGGGCCTCAATCGCCACAATTTTCGTAGATAAACGTATTCTTGACTACCTTCTTATTATTAGGAGCGAGCGAATAAAATTGGGAAAGGACTCGTATTAAGGGGCGAATACGGAGTTAGAAGGGTGTGATACCGAAGCATAGCTGAATAGTCGGGCTAGCTAACCAGAAAGAAATAAGAGGTAAAGCACCCAGAGGTATGGAAATAATATAAGAGTGACGTGGGTACGGCAACGGCTATTTCCGAATGCTGCTTTCCTGTAGTAGAGCGAGCATCAGAAAGAGTTTCCGATTGAGGTATTTTGGTTCCTTGCAGCCCTGTGCCGACTTGTCGAATAGATGAAAATTTTTCTTTAGTTGCCTTCTTACTGGATTTGACAGGCTTTACCTTACTTTTCGAAAGAGGGTAAGTCAGCCTCATTATGGATGTAAACCCGGATTTAGGAGAAAGAAGCACAAGCCGACTCGCCCTCAGTGAAAACTCTTATGGCGAAGGTTGAACCAGTAAATTATAGCTAACAGTACTCAGGCCCCAACAGTATGTATTTTATTTTAAGGAACCCAAGGAAATGCAGGTCCAGTTCAGGTTATGAGGAGGCCCGTAGGCAGAAAGCAGATCGACGACCATTAAAAACCATTTACTCTCTGATGGTCCTGATCCTTTTAGAGAGGTTCGTGTCGTTGCCAAAGGGAATTTTCTTAGGCAGCAAAGGGAGGAAGAAAGACAACTTTTCTTCTTCTTTATTTACTATTACAAATAGATTGCAGATAATTCTCAAAAGAGAGAACGCAAGAATTGGAAGATTAGGAGAAGGAGCTGCAATCACTAACGAGAGCGAAGGGGATTGTAATAATAATAAGACGGTTCTACAAGAAGAATAGGTTGTTTGAAGTCTTAACAAAGAAGAAGCTAGCTTATTTTCTTTCTCTTTCGAGATTGCGATGAGTGATATCGTAAATAAACAGATTGCTTTTTTAGAACTTTATAGATCTTATCCTAAGATAAAGAGAATAGGTTGCACAGAATGAGGTCTATCTGCCATAAACCCTTTCATAGGCGTAAAGAATTATAGCAATGTGAAGCGAGAGCGGGCTGTTCGTTAGGGTTGGAATCAGTATCTCATCTGTTTTCAGCTTAAAGTTTTTTTGATTAATAGAATAGCAGCGGGGGAGAGAGTTTTTTCGAAATTAGTTTAAACCAACTATGTCTGAGAAGTCTTTGTTTATTATTATATTAGAGAAAGATTGTTTGGAGTGGAGAAGAAGGGATCCGCGGGTTGCTGCTCCCAACTAAAAAAAAAAAAGAAAAAAGAGCTTTCTCCCCTTCCAGTCTTTTGGAAAGTTCTTCCAGTCTGCTGGATATCAAAGCGGCAAGTCAAATTCGCATGTGTCTAGCAAAAAATGTTCTTGATGTGCTTGGATTGTCCACGACAAAGGAGTTGTGGGAGAAACTAGAAAAATTGTACCAAGGAAAAAAATATATCCAACAAGTTATATTTGAAGGAGCAATTTCATATGTTGAAAATGGCGGAAGATACAAAGCTGTCAGATCACCTGAGTGTTCTTAACGGCATCGTCTCTGAATTAGAAAATCTTGGAGTGCAAACCGAAGATGAAGATAAAGCTCTCTGACTCATCCTGTCACTTTCTTCGACATATGAGCACATGAAACCTGTTCTGAAATATGTTAGTAAGGAAGTGGTGTATGCAGATGTGGTTAGTAAGCTCATTACTGCGGAGACAAGACTGAATGAAATGAAAAATAAATCATATGAGGATTAAGCTTTATCTGTCGGTACCAGGAAAAAGAATATAAGCTCCGGAAAGAGGAAGGTTGTCTGCTGGGCTTGTGGTCAAATTGGACACGTCAAGAAGGATTGCCCGAACGGTGGAGCTGATTCGGCTAGAAGCTCTAACGTTGTTGCTGTCAATGTGATGTCCTGTGACGAAGGAGATGATGTGTTCTCTCTGTAATTGAGAGATGTGTGTCCTCATGGCATGATTGCTACCCGTTGAGATGCCATGGAAGAGGACGGATTATTAGTAGCTAGTCCACAAAAATGCGTACGACATTGGTTGACAGTTGATGCAAAGTGTGTGGTGGAAAAAAATATGTCGATAGCTAATGAACTCTCGGAAAAGTCAATAGGAGGGTTGCACCATAAACAATTGGTGTGATAAATTTCATGGGTATATGTGTTTAGGTTGCAATGATGTTTGCTTTTGGATAAGGAAGCTTAACTAGTCAGCCAAAATTTTTAGTATGAATATATTGATAATATGAAACTTAAAAACTTATGAGCAACCATAGTAGATGAAACGACAAATTCAATATAATTGCACTAAAACTTTGAGGAATGAATTGGTGTTAATTTGAATTTGACCTATTTGATGGGCTTCTGGTTAGGTTGGTGCACATGGTACTGGTGCAAGATTGCCACCTATTGATGAGCAGGTCATCAGCATGAAACTGGTTACTCCTGCTAAAGGAACAATAGAGATTTCAAAAGAGAAAGATCCAGAGCTATTTTATTTAGCTCGTTGCGGGCTTGGGGGGCTGGGAGTGGTTGCTGAAGTCACCTTACAATGTGTTGAGAGACAAGAGCTTGTGGAGCATACATACATCTCCAACATGAAAGACATCAAGAAGAACCACAAGTAAATATTTGCTTATTTTATTGGATCGAGTGGATGGTTGAAACTTCAAATGAAAATCAAAGAAAGTAGGTTTTTGAGGTTATGCAGCTCTTAAGTCCAAAGATAAATAATTAAAAAAATACGTGGTTTTGGATTCTCAATATCTATCACAATCTGTCTAGTAAAATATTTGTAGTTAAGACTGGAAAGTCCTCCAATTCTAGTCTCTGATTATATGAACATCCTTGAAGTTCCCGTGGTGATAAGTTGTATGCTGCCTTCATCTGTCATGTGATGCATCATTGCCTATATTTATATGAATCTCGTGTGAGACTGATACAAGATCCTTCCTTCTCTAGATAGTCTTTTTTGGAGTGCAAACTCTCCCTCTTACACAGACAGACACATAGATATACAAATCACTGCATAGTTGAAATGAAATAATTAGTAGTCAGCTATCTGTGTCTCTAAAGTCCATTCGTTTTTTCCTTTTGCAGGAAACTGTTATCTGAGAATAAGCATGTGAAATACTTATATATCCCATACACTGACAGTGTTGTGATAGTGACATGCAACCCTATTTCAAAATGGAAAGGTCCACCCAAATTCAAACCCAAATATAGTAAAGATGAGGCCATAGAGCATGTCCGTGACCTTTACAAGGAGTCCCTCAAAAAGTACAGGTATAGCTATCGTCAGTTTTTTTTTTAGCTTTGTATTACACATATCTTGTTAGCCAATGTTGGGGACATAAATTGAGCTAGTTGATAATTTCACATCAGTCCTATTATGTATCTGCATACCCCTTATAAGAAAATATATAGATGTATATCATACATGCTAACTATGGACAAAGGAGGAGAGGAAACTAGTAATGATATGTCTTCCCCCCTAATATGTTTGTCCCTGCGTGTTAATTGCATACCTCAGTTACTTGCAGGACTGGAGAAATTGCAGCTAAAGCTGTGGACAAGGATGAAACAAACATAAATGAACTTTCATTCACTGAGCTAAGAGATAAATTGCTTGCTCTTGATCCTCTCAACAAAGACCACGTCATAAAGGTTAATCAGGCTGAGGCTGAATTCTGGAAGAAGTCAGAAGGATACAGAGTGGGTTGGAGTGATGAGATTCTGGGTTTTGATTGTGGTGGGCAGCAGTGGGTATCAGAAACTTGTTTTCCTGCTGGTACCCTCTCCAAGCCAAGCATGAAAGACCTCGAATACATAGAAGAGCTGAAGCAGCTCATAGACAAAGAAGATATACCTGCACCTGCTCCTATAGAGCAGCGCTGGACAGCTTGCAGCCAAAGTCCCATGAGTCCAGCTTCAAGCTCAGCCAAAGATGATATATTCTCGTGGGTAAGTTCACTGCAACTTCTACTTCCTAAAATTCATTATTTATTGCTGGAACTTTGTGGCAGTTGAATTGGTGATCATCATATAAACTATGCTTTCTTACCTTAGATGACCTAGAATCTGAAATTATGAATCTAAAAGATAAGACTTCAATGGATGGCCATTTATATATTGTGATGGGAAAAAACGCTAGTATGCAGACATTTATAGGGAAAATGGCTGAGACAGTCATCAATTCTTTTATTTCTGGTAATCTGCTTCGGTAACTGGTACGGTTGAGGATACATGCAGCTACCTCATCCTAATTGACAGTCATATATTTGACATTTGCTGTACTTGTAGGTTATTGCAGATGGAATGCTCAAACTCATTTGATTTTTTTTTTTTTTTTTTTTTTTTGGAGGACATGCCAAGAGGGAAGAGGGGAAACTAACCTTTATCACTGGCTTGTGTTCCATATTTCCGAAGCTATCCCTAACTTGCTTACCTGTTACCTACGAGAGTGTATAAACTATGCCCCGCATAGTTACTTCTATTGGGGTAATTCTACTTGGGAAAGTCTTACCGGGGGGAGGGGGCGGTCCCTTGGACATAGTCCTCTACCTTATACCTATGGGTGCCTTGCAAAATTTCAATAGGACTAGGAGTAGGGGGGTCCGAAGGAGATCGCTAGAAACTGGTACTACAATTGAAAGACTTGAAGTTGTTGACGCGTGTTTTTTATGCCCCGCCTGATCCAATGATGATACGAGGATGCAAAATGAATGGGTTAGTGCCATCTAGAAGTCTTTTAATCTAAGGATAAATCAAACCAATTTTAAGTTTCTGGTTGGGTCAGTCGTGTCACACAACTGTCAGTCGTGTCACCCAACTGTCAGTCGTGTCACCCCACTGTCAGTCGTGTCACCCAACTGTCAGTCGTGTCACCCCCTGGATGGAAAGCTTTTTCACTGGCCCAATATAATAATTTATAGAGTATAAAGAAAACAAACAGTTTTCAATTTCTATAATTTTTGACTTCGCTTATACCAGAAAAATCAACTTCATAATACGAAATTAATTTTCATTAATTAAGCCAAACAAAACGCTATCAAACAAATCTAGAACAGATATAGACTCTGATACCACATGTTAAATAATCTTTAATATAGTCAGATCTATTGTTCATAGAATTTGTTTGATAGAAATAGATAATAAGCGAAAGCGTACATACTGCATGCTGAATTCTCAAACCCGAAGGAATGGCTTAGCAAGGGCAAAGACTTGTGAGAAGCGGGCAAGAAACTGGGCCTAAAAAGGAGGCTAGCATGGAACCAAAAGAAAGGGCCTCCACGATCTAATTCTTAATTAGCCTTTGCCCTCAAATCATCCCTACTTGCTGGCTTTTCCTGATTGAGGGACTCAAAAAAGGACCTCAAAAACAGGCCGGCTGTAACTTTGCCTGAAAAGAGAACTTCTTTGCTTACAACTAGGGCTGCTCCTCGCTCACAGCTTCTATATAGATGTTCCACCATCGTCTGTGACTCCTATACAAGAATCCCCTAATGTTGAACCATTAACGTTCAACGCGCTAAGCAGGTTGCCCCAGACTGTGATGTAGTCGGCTGTAAGTCGGTTGTGCGAGCCGCCTGCTTTTATCCAAGTGAGCAGGGGCCGAAGCGAAGACTGGAAGCAGTGGGACAGGACAGTTCTTTTTGACCGAACAAGACTTGAGGATGGAAGACTTCTCTCGATTGACTAATCTTTTTATGCGAGGGCCGGAACCCGCTTCTTCCAGAACCAAAGATTTCTTCCCTTTCTCACCAGCATTTTCGGAGCAAGGCCAGGGTCTTTTAACCCTACCATAATATGATATTTCCATGTTAATATTAAGTTTTCTCATATTTATAGTGCTTCTAATAGCGGCCATCCTTCCCTAAACTAAAGAATGACTTACCTTGCGCCGGGTATCATTTAGCTTTGAGCGGCGAAACTCCTGTTTACTTGCGACAGGTTATTTCCTTATAATAAGATATCACGTTCAAGCGGGAAGACTTAAGCAAGACCAAAGTCTCGTCCACAACCAGGAAAGAAAAGATCAGATCGGCAACCGGCAACAGCAGATAAGACCGCTTCTTCCTATGTTCCATGAAAGCATGAGTGGAACGGTCGATTCTCTAAGAGAGGGATTTGTTCACAGCCGAGTCTGTCAAAGAAGCTTGGGTAAGCATTCAAAAGCAAAAGCAGTCTCCTTTCACGACACTGTTAGTTAGAGGATGAATTCTTCTCATTATTCCCTTCCCGAGGGAGTCAGAGCAATTGTCTTTCTTTCTTATTCGTCACTTTTTTCATCCAAATAGGGTCCATCGTATTTTCTAGGTTCCTAGTTAGAACCCTTAGCCAAACCGCTTAATAGAGTGACTTTTTCTAATACCCCATTACTCGTCTCTAAGCTCTGCTGCGGCAAGCAGGCCGATTCTTATTGCATTCCACAAGAGAGTCTTGCCTCGCTTCCTGAACTCTGCGGCGAGTTCCAGCCACCACCTCCGGGCCTTAGCTCTGCTCGGAGACGTAGTCAGCCAGCTTCGTGACTTTGCTTAGCTTCCAAGGCTAAGCAAAGGGATAACTTTCACTAATCTAGGCGCCCATAGAAAGAGAGGGGTCCCACGGAGTTATTCCCCGAAGGTCAAGCCGTAGTCCCTGCCCCTGGGAGAAGTGGAAGCAGTTAGGAGGATTGGAGCGCCCTTTGCCCTAAGAAATAGGCCGGCTCGCCTTCAAGCGTCAAGAAAATCGAGCTATATGTGATCAGGGAGCGGTGGTTAGATATTAGGGGGCCGGGCTTCGCTGTTGGATTTGGAAGGAAGGGTTTTCGCTTCGATCGCTTTTTGAGGCCTGGTTTGGATGAGCTGGGCAATCGGGATTCGGCTATCGCTTTCGGACTTTTGGAAGCGCCCCCCCTTGTCACTTAAAGGGCGAAGTCGCTGAAAGCGAGTCTAAAGGCCAAAAGGAGTGATTCTTTGAAACGCTACTACGCATCCTACTATTAGTAAGTGTAAGGTAGGTTTGCGGTATTAAGCAGCGACTTTTGAACCTTTGCGACCATTTAGCGTTAAAAGGGCCAATGCTCTACCAACTGAGCTATTACACCCCCAAAAAGATGTCAGTAGTTAAATAAGGATTGGTAGCGGAAAAGAAAAGCTCTTCTTCTCATCATATTATTAGGGGCTTGGGCTTGGGCTCTAAAGCCGGCCTTACTCAACAAGCACCTTTCTTAGTAAGGTTGCTTCTTTTCCACTCAATTGAAGATTCTATCTTTAATCTAAAAAAAGAAGTGTCAACGGCGGGTAAAAAAGTTGCTCTCACTGACACCATCTACAGAAGGTGAGGTTCTTCTTTCTTTTCCAGCCTAGTACGGTTGGTTCGCCTTAAAGACGGAATAAGGGAGATAAGGGGAGGAGCAGTTATCTATGTAATGACGGTCTTTGTTGGCCGTTGTTCCGGTCGAGCACTCTCTTTTCTTTGCTTTGTCCAATTCCGTTTTACCAAACAAGACTAACTTCTGACCAACCCGCGAAGGGTTGTGAGGTTGGACCAGGTACAAAGAATGAATCTATATCTGTGTACGGAAGTTGCCGGCCGGCAGCCGCTCCACTGTTCGAGCGCAATGCAGTGGTGGTTGGTTCCGATTCGACAAGGGTAGAATGCCTGGTCGAAACGCTACCCATGGTTCTTTCTCGGAATCGCCTATCTACTATGGTTGCAGCCGCGAGCTTGCTAAGCATAAGAATCCACCCCGCCTTGCTAACCGATGATAATAAGCTGGGATGCATCTTTCCTATGGTGCTTAGGTCCCATCTAACCCCCTCTCTTGCTTGGTTCCCCTACCCCACTCCAAGTAGCTGATCTCAAGCACTACCCGTTCGTCTTTTCAGTGGATGGCTCTTGTTACCTTTCGCCTGAAGCTGCTTCCTGAAAGGGACAGAAATAAAGCATTGGGTCAAGCTCTTCTTTGGTGTCAAGGTAATAGCTATGAATAGCCATCGACTCCTGGGAAAGGGTAGAAGAATGAGACCTATTATGGGACATACAATGCATTACAAACGTATGATCATTACGCTTCAACCGGTTATTCTATTGCACTCGTCCCCTCTACTGATCGAACCCTCACCTCAGTTCAGAGGTCTTCGTCAAACTTCCTCAACGGGGAGTTAGCAGGAGTAACTGTTTAGAAATATAGCTGTCATTGAGACCGCTAAAGAATCGATTCTTTGAAAATCGATTGTTAGAGAAGCTGAAAAGCCAATTATCCATTCAATCACTATTCGATTGATTAAATTCCTGAGTACTCAGGAATTCTCATGAGTTTGTATATAAAAAACCTTTCACCCTTTCAAGAGCAGTGTCAAACCAAAATACCCAACAAGCATTACCTCTCCCTGAAAAAGAGCACGTGGTTCGAAGTTAATGCCAGATAAAAAGGATTTTGGTTATAGTTTTCCTTGCGATGGTCCCGGACGCGATGGTACTTGTGATATTTCGGCTTGGGACGCATTTTATTTGACGATTTTCTGTTGAGACCCCAACCCTAGAGTGAATCTACTTCGTCCGCGTCCGCATTGAGGTTTGGTAATACCCAAAAACAATGAAAGGATCGGGCGTCTATAGTTTGCAAGGAACTTGATTCCTCCCGGGCAGCTTGCGGGTCGAACTCTAATTCTGGAAAATAAGTCGGGGCCCTTTTTTACCAAGTCTACCGGATATAAGATGATAGAAGGCCGCAACGGTAGTTGCTTGCCACAAGACCGGTGCCCGTCTCACTTCGCAGTTCCTTCCTTCGAAGTCAAATCGATGGATACCGCTCGGCGATGTACCTACAAATAAAAAGGCTGCATAGGTGATCGAAATCGCTCAGGTCAGCGAGGGGACTCACTCACTCACCTACTCCTATCTAATTAGTTTCTTCTAATACTACCGGAATTCAAAAGGCGACCCGCCGCGCCGGCGGCTATAAGATACAGCTGTGTACTACTTGCCTGGTAAGAAAAAGCTTACGTAAGAACTGGAAGACTCTTGTATGTACGTAATCCTCTTCTTCTGCTATTTGG